TAATTCTCTGTGGCGAGTTAGTTTTCAGACAGGTGATTACTGTAACTCACATGAATAATCGAGTATAATTGTGTTTTTCGTAACATAAACGACAGAATTGATCAATTGAAAGACCTTGAAGTTTTTTGCCCATTTCTTCTTCGTTCTTTTCGACGGAAATTCTGTTGGCCTCCTAATCGCTCGCTATTCTGAAGGTGGGCGGTTGAATGTAAATGAACAAAAACGTAATCTTCCAGAGAGATCGAGTTTCTTAAGCTTTACCGATCATTGATATCGAAAGAAATATACATTGTGAATTTTAATTTCAAGACTGTAACCGCCAGATGTCAAGCAACTCTGCCCTTCAAAATAAGTTTTAAACCTCCTCAATTCTATTTACAAAATCAGCTCCTTGTTACGACAGAGAAACCTTCCTGCCGAGCTTAAAGTTATTCTTCGCTTAGTGTTCACTTGAATTTTCTTTTTCTAATACAAAGCTGAATGAGTTTTACCCGCGCGTTCACATTGAATCCTTCTCTATACAACTACGCGAGAACGAAAAAAAATCTTGTCGACAAACGCAATTGCGACCGAACTTGATGTACTATTTTTTTTTTTCGTGTAACAGTACCGCCAAAATTGCGTGCGGAGAAAGTCCCAATGTGCCGGTTTGTAAACACAGACAAACAGCCGCAGCTGAGCTCAACGACTGGGATACAAAGCACATGAACAACGATATACTGTTTACCTTAGTAATGAGAAATATAAGTGTTTCCGCTCAACGAAGATCTTCAGAAATAAATATGTAGTGTTTGAAGAGAAGCGCCGGAGTCGTTCGCCTTTTCAACTGTGCTATTTTCACAGAGTTGACATCCCGGGTAGAAAAAACACATTCGTGTCTAATCCACCCACGAATCATCCCAAGACATCAGAAGGCCAGTCAGAGCAAAGGCCATGGGAACGAGTCTCGTTCCAAGCTTTTTTCAACTTGGAAGGGCGAATGGCAAAAATGTCATAAAGAGGAGGACGGGGTGTCAATTGAGAGGGTCTGGGAGTCATTAAGTGAAGATTACGCTCCACTTCTAGAAAGAGAAAAGGAGACAAGATTTTCTTTCCAAGGGAAAAGAATAACTACCAGCTACCAGTATAAACTACCAACAATTTTGCTTCAAACATATCTTTCTGCATAAGTTCATGCAGGGAATGGCTGCATGTTGTCGTAGCCATAAGTAGTTTATGCGAACTGTACTTCAAATGAACAGCAGTACAACAAAACAAATGCTTTTTATATTAAAAAATATATTTTATTGGTGCAATCTCGAGAAGCTCTCACAAACATCATACTCAATTGTAGCTTGTAGAGAACACTACAAAGCTCATGGCCAAACCTTTGTGCTTAAATAATCTACGATCAATTGCGTTAGGTAAGGAGAACTTGATCAGCAAAAGATTTTGTAGTCTAGCTCTCACTATCTCTCCCACGTCCCGGCCAACCCTAACTCTTACTACATGTAGGGCTTAAAAAATACAGCAAATATTTGCCATTGTTAAGAGCACAAATTCTCCAGTACACGATCGGCTATTTCCTGATTGCAAAATATTGAAGCAAGTTACATGTGACTATATTTGAAGGCTATTTGCAGGATTTCTCTTTATTCTATGGCATAACGCAGCCTGGATATTCTTCGAACCCCTGCCTAATGCAAAACCGTAATAAAACGATTCTATGCAACGACTGGCTAGATCAGTGCTAAATATTTACAATCATAAAGGTCTAGTCATATAAGAAACAAGATAACACTTGTTTCTACTTTCTCTCTACTGACAGCACCCTCCCTACCCACCCCTCTCTAGACCTATCTCTTGGACTACTCTTTTGAAAATAATTGACGTATTTTCCCGATTTAACACTACGCGGAGGAGGAGAGGGGGTATCTGAAATCGACGTCTATTACGTTCGTCTAAAGTCTTCGCGATGGAATGTAGACTAGCTCAGTCCGAATGAGCGAAACATACTGAAATGGTTCACGGTATTTTTGAGTTGCTTTAGCCGAGTAGAAAATTACCTTCAAAATTGAAGGAAATCTGAAACTAGTCACTTACTAAGATAGAAAAAAGACAAAGAGATAATAATAAACCATTTAGGAACAAGGATGGTGAAGGATAGAGAAGATGGACACGGATTACAAACGACGAACTTGAATAATTCAGCCTAAACGTTTCAAGATACGCAAACCGTGACGTGGCTCCTTTAAACTAATCACATCAAACAATTGATGACTATAAGTTGTATAATAGAAGTCAGATTTAAGTAAACTCTTGTCCTCGAATAAACGCCCGGGATGAACCCGGTGTCATTAATCGAGAAAGTACATCCTTGTTGTAACTTCAAAGCTACGGAAAACCCTCTGAGTGCAACATCTACAATCTTGTCTTTACAACATCACGTGGAACATCGTGGTAAGACACGTGAAGTTTTCTTTAACTTCTTCATGTAAGCTTGTTTCACATGACCACACAAGTCGTGGACTGCACAAGATCCTCGTCTTCTATAACATACTTGGTTGTTCTCAGTTTGGCTGGTGTGCACTTCGTTTGTTCATAGGGACTGAAAGGAGATTAAAACACTTAGTTTGCAACATTTTAGCCATTGATTTCTATGTTTACCACAAGACCGTTATACTTGTTTGGTTCTCTGTTTGCTTATTTGCTTTGTTTGTTTGTTTGTTTGTTTGGTTTACAAAACGTTGATTCTCTAAATTAAAAGTTTATATAATTATGCAACAATTTAAGAAGAAAAATCCTCACCTGTTAACAGGAGACCCGACTGCTTGGACGCAGGAGACTTCCGGTAGTTTTGGTCTGAAACAACGTTTCCCAGCCACTTCGCGAGGAGAAAAGAGCTTAAAAATGAATGCAATTTTATCAGAAATGTTGCAGTGGTTTTGCAGAATGTACACGTAGATATGAAACAGAATAGAAATTTTAAAAGCCCAGCTCAATAAAAATGTTACCAACATTTAGCCATAAAAGGTAATATCCTACACAAAGATATCACAAGATGAGGAATAACGAATTTATTCTATGACAAGTTCATCATTCAGCAATTCAAGACAACAGAGATCTCTGTCACGAAACTGAGAGAAAGAAGACCTTACTTCAGCACAAAGGAACTAACCTCGACTTCAAAATTCTCCTTGAAGGACAATTTCCTTTTCTGAGCGCGGGTCTTTACACAACTTTGTCCAGGTTCCTCCAATTTTTGCGTTTCTTCGTTTACCTTCGCCCCTTCTGTTTCTTGCATTGAACTCCCACAACCCTTTTCTAGCTTCATTTCATCAGAAAATGTTGGAACATCACTCTTAATCCACGGAGAATTAATCACTGTTTCGCGGCTCCTAGCCCGTGTCATTGGTGCGATACTGGGCGTCGTTCCGGTCTTGAGTGTTTTCCGTGTCTTCAGGTTTTGGTCGTCGGGTCTTCGGGTCTTCGAGCCTCCGGGTTTTGTCGACTGTGCTGGAGTTTGTTTGTTAAGCAGTTCTTTTCTCAAGGGATAAAGACTGTCTTTGATGCAGACCGCTGGACTGGAACATTCTACAGCCGAATCCTGTGAAACAAATGAAAGGAAACCAGCTGTCAAATCACTCTTCATAATGAGAAACGGTTATTTAGCTATTTAGCCATTACGGAAATTTTGCTATGCCTACGTATCGCTCAGTTGCTGTACTAGATCGCAAGGTCGAAAAAACACGCTCACATCATTGCTAACAAAGAGTAGATGAAGGGTGAGAGAGAGTTTATCCCCATACAGGCATACAAGTTATTTTTAGACGTGGTACCCGGTCCTCCCGCGGATGTTACCTCGTGCATTGCGTACACTTTTCTTTTCAACGAGAATGAAAATGCGTGCAAAGCCGCTTGGGCTGTTCACGCGAGCAAAATCCGCGTCATATGATTGGCTATCTCTACACGTTCCAGGGATTTCCGAAACCGGGAATGTTCTAAAAATAACTTCAGAGGGATCAGAAATTAATTCTGTTATCATTTATTCTCTCTTGTTACTAACCTGTCTAATGATGCTTAATCCCAGACGAGCTGCTTTCCTAGCAACAGACCTCGTTAAGGGCGTTGCTCGCTTTGGCAGATCACTTTCATCTCCGTTTGGTTTTCTTAAAGACGCTCTGCAGCTTTTGAGATCACTGCCAAAGGAACATAAAGATAACGGACGTTTTTTCTGATATTCACTTTGAGAACTTATTGTGAAGTCCAGTTCCTACCTTATGGCGTCCCGTATGCATTTGAACCAGGTCAGCGCTTCCGTCCTTGACTTAGAGTACAAAAGCAGTGATTTGTCTTTACAAGTTACCTGACGTTTAAAAAAGAGAGATCAGAAATGTTGAACTCACAAAGAGAAAAACAAGAAAAAACAGTTTGATGCATGTACATGTATATCTCGCTGTCCACGATTTCCAAGCAGGCTTACCTTGAACAGAGCTCCCGCGCCAGAATTGTCTTCATTTTCGGTTAAACCGCCCAAAACCTGTTCCAACTCGCAGTCGATCAGTGGCAAAACGCGACGGCATAAGTACGAGCTGCGAATAACACACACGTGACAAACTTGTTAAACATGCCACCGGCTGAGCCAATCCTTGCGTAGCGCGCTAATTATTTTAAAGTAAAAGTTTAAGTCAGAATAAAACCCTAGCATGTGACAATTTAAATGAAAGCTATTGAGCGCTTCTTTACTGAGATGCAGTTTGTTTTGTTTTGTAATTTCAATGAAAACAAAGTGAAATTTGCGATTTTTTTTCCAGTTGTTTCAATTTTGAACTTTGTTTCCTTCGGGAGTTGCAAACTAACTTTGCTGCAGGTGTTTCAGAACAGTAAAATAATTAAGCAATAGACTTCGGTTATGGTTTATAGGATGATAAACCACGCGGTATGTTGGAATTGCACGAGAAGGATGAATAGTTTCGAGACCGTAAAATGCCTTTCTTTCCCTCAACTTGGGCATTCGTTACCTCTGTTCTTTGTCCAGTGAGCCACCTTTCTTGGCGTAAAGAAGAATATCCGAGAACAAAAAGAACATCCTTTCCTGTGATCCTCGGCTACAAACCTGTAAAAGTGTTGACCAAAACACGTGCCTTTATTAAACTAGAAACAACACCGGTACTATAATCTGAATTGCTAATGTCAAAAAGAAATTAAACATTGGTTTGTTTCAAACTACAGTGTAGGAGCACGCATGTAATTTTAGAAAATACGGTTCATGAATTCAACAGTGTCCGCCAGTTTCAAAATTCACGCAGGAGTTACAGATCGAATTTTGACTTCGAGAGAGTAATTGTGAAACAATTTTTTTATCTAGTATGTTTAATGTATAATAAGTATTTAATTCAGCGGTTAACTTTGGGAAAATTGCCGCACCTTTCCATATAACCCTACGGCCTGTGTTGAGAAATCGTATTTCTCGAGCAGCCTCGGTAGGTCTATAACCGTACTTTTCAACGCTTTGCCGTCATTTTTCAATCGTATTTAAAATAACCATACTGACCTTCAAAAGTGGACCTTCTTTGATAAAAAGCCGTCCTAAAGCAAATAAAGAAATGAAACAATTGCAACGTGAAACTTAAGTTTTGCAAAGAACAAAAGTTATTATTCTTGTTTTACCTGGAGCAAGAATTTTGGGAGCTCCTTCGCCTGTGAGTGAATTCTGAATGGACAACATTTTCTGAAAGTTCTCTCGCTGACGAATATTTTCATTGATGTGATGTGCAACTTTGTTGATTTCTACTGTGGCGTCTGAAACAAAAACAAAAAAGAGTATTGTTGATTAGGACATGCACACAGGGAAAAGCGCTCTGACGTAGGTCAAACGATCAAAATGTCAGTTTCATAAACTCACTACAGCCCATCAAGTGACCTATCAGGCTGGAGCTTCTCCTGGTTTCTGTAGTATGAAGCGACTAAGATTATTTCTACTCCCCCCTGAATGAACGCTAGTCCATCACAGGGTTAGCCCTTAGCATTATATTTGCCGGTACCAATTTGTACACCTGGGTGGAGNTTATTTCAAAATTGAAGTTATCATATGACAAATATTCAGTGGACAAAGTTTGAACAAAAATCTATTGTCACTTTTATTTCAGAGGAATTACCTTAACTGCCAAATATATTTTTACCTGTAAGGCAGCCTGTGCTTTAGCAAAGTTGTTAGCATAAGTACTGTAAAGCTTGATGAATGGTGCCATGGCTAAGAAGGCATCACCGAGGCCTAAAGTCTCCATATGACTCAAGAGTTCTCTGTTGACTGCTTGAATTGCCTCCACATTGGAGAAGATGGTGTTCAGTGCATTTTGTGGCAGAATGCACGCAACTTGCAATGGTGCAAGAAATTGCTGAAAGTTAGAATTAATAATACCAGAGATAGGATTAAACCACAATGCTTTCATTTAAAAAAAACAACATAGGGTTATTTCATACTAATGTGAAATGCATGAAACAATGATTTTATAAAATCTCACTCACTGATGTTATAGCATTCAAATGATCTTGGTAAGTCCTTTCTGTTGCAAAAATCTCATTGATAACCTTTCTTCTTTTTCTGGCTACGGTTTGGCTGCGAAGCATGTGGTTGAACTCTGCAGAAATGGCCTGACTTGTTTGCGACAATTGTAGAGACAGGAACTTCTTAGCATTGTGAACTGTTTGGGGAAAAAATGTCAGTTAAACCTTGATAGCTGTGAGGGCTGTTGTTAAGTTTTAATTCACTTGTAGCCTTGATCTTCACACCCGTAGCAAACTTGTCACTTTATGGGTGAATTGTATCAACTACAGGCCAGTTCACCCATGCATGTAACATCAAGGGTCCATCAAACATACTCAGCTGTAACAGGTGTTATGGGTTATGACCCTTATTGACAGCCCTGCAGCTGTCATCTTGTAACTTGTAGAATTGATAGGATTCACCCTGAATTCAAAAGATCTACATTGTGGGATTATATTAGCATAAATTAAACTATTCAACAATTAGATTATTTGCCCTCAATTTCTGTTGAATGATAGTTGATGAGGGTGCAGCCCAAGTCAACTATCACGCACAGAAATTGAGAGCCAATGCTTGTTTTAGTATAAATCTACTAGTTGTTCATAACTTTGTCTTTATCTAAATCCAGACCTCTTCACAGACAATCCCAAAAACACAAATGGCCAAAATTTTGTTAAAAACTGCACACTGCTAGGCTACTCACTATCTACAAAAGAATAGGTAGTGAGCAGCATAGCCAATAAAAGAAAGGCATTCTTGATAGAACACTAGTAAAAAATATACTAATTAGCAGTAAGACAATAGGCCCAAGGGTGAGTAATTACCTGATTACATTGTTTAGTAGACACTCCAAACAACTGCAATCCAAAACCTACAATTTTATCCTCTCAGAAAGCTAATGCATCAAGTGACAAGATGTTGCAGCTCACCTCATCAGAAAATACTTTTGAACCCCTTTCAGAATATCTTGTTCACGGGTAAAAAGGGAAGGGGTGGCACAGTGGATTTAAAATCAAATGGACCTTATGCCTACAAATGTACTTGTCCAAACGAAGTAGGATGTTGAACTTTTTTGGCTTTTGGGTTTGGTGAAAACCATCCTCATCAAAAAGTTAACTTACTGTGGTAATGGTCAACTCAAAAGCTTTTGTTCCTTTGGCTTTATAGCTTGGCTAGATTGTAGAATAGCAGTAACTCATTTGCATCTCATTGCACTCATTTGAATGGTTCCTTATGTTTCTTTATGCTCGTTCTTAGAAGCGTCGAGAGATTTGTTAATAAGTGACCCGGTGTTGTAGAATAGCTCCTTTAGTTTAATGCAAGTTTGGGTTTGTTTTTCCCTCCGATGTTGTATTTCCGTGAATTGACGGAACTGCTTTTGTAACTGAACTGAAATAAGCGTAAATAAAACTGAACTCGAAATTGAACACTGAAATTGATCTATTGGATGTAAGCATTGCTCACAACTAAGGCATGACTTTGTTGTTTTGATGGTCACTTCGCTCCATGGTTAGATGACTTAGATAGATCGCTCGAATTCAGTTCGCTCCAACGCTCATTTTGATTATTCCTAGTTCTTTCATCCACTGCCAAGCCAAACTCGGTAAGCTGAAGTAGCGAATTCCGCCTGCGAAGAGCGATCTAACCATGGAGTGAAATGACCGTAATTCGGTTTGATTGTTCCAGCTTAACATCTCTTCTTCAGGCTTGCCATGTTACGTTATGATTTACTCGTAACAAGATACTTCCTGAAGTGCGCTTCCTGAACTCATTTTCGCTTTATCATGGAAAAACGAACACATGATGAAAAATCAAAACATTAACTTTCATACTCACACTTTGGACGAAACGGACTCGCGCTCCCGTTAACCGAAGCCATGACTTGTGCAATCACTCCTTTAAAACGCACCTGATCAACAGTTAGGAACGACAACTACAAAAGACGTTGGCAAAGTCAAGTTCTTGCACCTTTCCCACGACCAAACGAAGTTTCAGAAACCACAAACTGTGAAGATTTCAAGAGGAAACAACGAACATCCTAACGTTCAAACTTCCCACCCTCTGTTTATTCGCGTGGTGACCTGGGACTCCGCTGACCAAGAAACGCGGTTACTCTCTAGACTCTTACCCAGTTTCCAGGTGTAGCGGGCGTACCGGAGTTTAGCCGCAGTTTGGAATAAAGATGGATGGAAGGGCCCTGAAGTTCTCTAATCGTATTTTATTATATGCTATTACTTATGCTCCACCTTGGTTGTCCTGTGTCTTTTATCTGCCGTAAAGATCAGTTTTGATACGCTGGTGAACCCCAAAGAGATTGAGAATATTGCTAAAAGGGGGTGGGGTAAACGGTCGCGGTATTTCTAAAAAGTTTGCAAGTGGCCTATCAGGGTGGCCTTAACTTCGAACTAGCAATCTTTTTTCTACCGACTCCTTGACCTCTCTTTCCTACCGACTTGTTCAATCAAAAGGGAGCCTGGAGAAGGAGTGATATAGCGGGACGGAGCAACAAAAAATAAAATTATTTTCCGTTGTTCCCTTCCTGCACTACAACAGGTTAAGGTTTTACACTAGGTCAAATTGGTGGTAAAGGAGACTGCGTTAAGGTGTCCGTTTACAGAGAATCTGGAACGAGGGCATAAATCAAAAGGCTAATTTTCTGTCCTTTTAATAGTTTTATTTCTTGATCACAGTATACATGAGATTTGTGTTTAAAAAATGGCAAATCCCATAACGATGTATAATTTAGCTCCATGACCATTTCTTAGTTATCACACGAATCTTTTACTCTGGAAAACAGTTTTTCAATGCTCTGGATTCCAAACCAAGGTCCTAGGTCATTTAAGCCTGGATTTCACTAGCGACGCAAGTACAAGCGCAAACGCAATAATTCTTATTTCACCGTGAAAACGGCCTTGACGCAGGCATAAGCACAAGGTGCAAATTTGTCCTTTTTCTTGTGGTTGCGCTTATGATTGCGTTTGCACTGCAAGTGAAAACGAAATACTACTGAGGCATAACACAAGCTCGAAGATATTTACCACACGTGGTTAAGTTTGGCCAATGAAAACACTGGATCCAGATTACCTCGCGCCTAAACAGTTTGGAAGGTTCGGATGATTTTGCTTGTGCTTGTGTTTACGTCGAATTTCGTTTTCACTTAGGTCATCCCTATTGCTTGCGTCTGTGCTTGCGCTCGTACTTTACAATGCATATGCCCCAGCCGATGCTCATGAATTGAATGTATTAGATTTAAATTATGGCAGCTCTAAGGAATAAAATATAAGTTAAATGCCAGCATGAACTTGAAATGCTTATATTGTCAACATTAAGTTACAGGCCCACTTTCGTCCTGCATGCATTGCAGTCATTCTAGCTCCCTGTTGTCAAAAAACGTCAAATACTGCTTAATGCCCGGTCTGAGTAATTCAATTTAACTCTTCCGAATATGCATGTCATTGGTGTAGTTAAGTTTTGACCTCGGTTAATTTTTGATTACATCTTCTCTTTTCTTTCTCAATTTAAAAATTTTCTCAGGTATTGATAAGGCATAACGTGAAAAAGTTAACTGCAATGGAACACAGCTATTACGGTCAAAAAACGGGCCATGAAAAGTCGGCCGTATTAACGGGGTGGGGTCAACTTTCATGACTGGTCTAAACTTAGTGACGTCTTGACAGATCTATCACAATTGCACTTCTAAACAAATATTCTTTAGTGAGCATTATATCCGGAATGCAATAAGATTTTAAAAAGATAAACCTTCAACTAGTACTTTCAATATTAACATTGGGAAGATGAGCATAACTGGTTTGAGAAGTCGTATAAAAGGGTAAAATTGTAAAGGATTATACAGGTTAGGATTTCAGAATGTGGTGGCAGCATTAATGGGGTTTTCGTATAAGAAAATGAATGGGTGTTTTACCCAGACAAGAAGAAGTGGCCGTAATAACGAGGTGACCGTATTTTAAAACAAGGTGATCGTAAGGCGGGGGTTCCACTGTAGCTAGAAGAAAATGAACCACATCTAGTTAAAATTATTTATATCAAAAATTAAATGAGAACAAAAATTAACTAGAACATCATCATGAATGGGAGAGAATTCTCAACTATCTGAGTAACTTGAATGTTGAAGCTATTGAGTCAAGAGAAAAATTTCCACTCAAAAAATATTATGTACCTCCCATTCAAATTATACATGACTTGAAAAAGGTTTTCAAAGCCAAAAAAACATTTTACATCACCTTTTATACTCAAAACAAGATGCTCTGCACCTTATGATTGACCACAAACCAGAAAGCAAGTATGGACAAAATATAACTTTGCAACATTTCTAAATAAATAAATAACTAGAAAACTGAAGCATATAGTCCCACAGAAGTTTCACAGAAATCTCTGTAAATTATCTGCAAGATTTAAATTAGTTATATTTTTCTTAATGGTTATTTAGAAACTTTTTTCTTTTTTTTTTAATGACAATCAGGTTTCACAAATTAAATTTCATATAGAGTGCTGTGCTGCTAGACAACTAGTTTAAAAAAAGGATCACCGTGGGAAAAAAACCTGAAATTGTGTTAAAAATTGTTGATGCCCAGCCAGTTTATACCATGTGTTAATTTTGTACCTACATGCGCATAATTTGTACTAGCTTTTTGTCAAAACACACTATAAAAGTGTCTATAAATACAAGATCCCTTGTTTTTAATATTTTAATTTTTAGCTCGTTACCTTAGCCTAATGTACATAATTATTGCAAATAATTAGTTNATTATTATTATTATTATTATTATTATTATTATTATTATTATTATCTAAAACTGATGCTGCAAGCTATCTGTGGGCATAATGACAAATGCCTCAATAACCATAAAACAGCTGTAGTTGTTCTGAAGGAGGCTGGGACTCTGTACGAAACTGACAGGGATCGATGCTTGCCATAGCTTTTAGGAGTTGAAAAATAAATTCTGGTACAAAATTTGTCATGATCAGTGTTTGATTTCAAATTTTGACAGTTAGTACAAGTTGTCAAAGTAGTTGTCAAGAAGTGATACTGATGTTGCTGTTGGCCAGCCAGTGCCACTTCACTATTAATTTGCACAAAATTGGGTCTCTACGATACCTCTTAAAGGTAACAATAAGCATGAGCCATGCTCCCAGGAAAATATTCTGGTATGTCTAGAGTTGTTTTTCAAAATCTCCTACTGTATGAGCATACAAATCAGTTTCATGTGGAAGTCTCCCCTATGGAAGTTTTCTTCGTAGATATCTACACATAACATCGGCATCCGCATAGAATGTTACCAATGTTCTAACCTACTACATACATGTACATAATAAAATTATAGTTCTAAAAGAAACCCTATATAGTAGCCAGGCTGAATAATATCACGTAGGGGCCCCGGCTCCTTCAGCCAGTCCCATTACAAACTGTTCAATCTCTCCCTTGCTTGGAGCTTCTGGCACTTCCCAGTAATCTTTATTTCCATGAATCTCATTTCGACATATTGGACAAGTGTTATTGACATCACTCCTGTAAAAGAGAGGTAATTAAAAATTACGTAAGCCAACAGTTAAATTAGTCAAGTGCCTCTAGGGGGCATCTTCCTACCCTTGCTACCAACATTATCATATGAAGGATAAAATTATTATCAATGCTCCTTAGTGCAACATGAAAAGCTAACTTACCATCTGTCAATGCAAGTTTTACAGAAACAATGGACACAAGCCAAGATCACTTCTGCCTTCTGATCCATACATATACAGCACTCTTCATTTGGACCTTTATCTGCTGCTGCCTCGTCGACCCTATGAACATAGGAGATATGTACACAGATGTCTAAAATAATACATCATTTCCCATGGAACTACCATATTCAACAACACACAGTTTCTTCTGGTAATAAGTTTCTTCCTTCTGATACATACCGGTAACACATGCTCAATTTCAAGTTCCACTTGACAATAGAATAAGAAATTTGAAGGGCCGCCTGGAATAAAGCCCTAAGTGACTTTTGGAAAACTTTGAGGTAACCAGCAATGAAATACCTCCGAACAAATTTTACAGTTTATTCCGGTTTTTATTGGTGCCTAAAAACTACTAGTAATAATTGCTAGTTCCTTTTCATAGACAACAATTAAAACCAGACTCAACTGCAAAATTGCTGGGAATTATTTCAATGCTGGCTACCCAAAAATTTTCTTAAAGTCACTTAGGGCTTTATTCCATGCACCCCTTCATTTGACAGCCAACACTTGCGGAGCTCAGCGGAGTACTAAAACAACATCTCTCAGACTTAACAATAAAATTACAAAGTGACACTTTGGCCAACCAATTTTAGAGTACAGTATCAAATTATTACTTTGAAACCTCTTTGTACAGAAACCTCCATGGGTGATACAGACACTTCTATATTACGGACAATTCACTAGGTCCCAGAGAAACCAACATTTCATATAATCTCTTCCTCTATAATACAAACACTCAGGTCTGCCCCTTTGGTGTCTGTATTTAAAGAAGTGTGACTGTACTGCTGAGACAGACATCTAGAATTTGGCCAAAAATATTTCCAAACAGTGATGAAGCTCTAGAAAACCTGTCAGGTTGATCATGTTCAAGTACCAGTAAAACTGGTAGCAATAATATTACCGTAATCTGTATGACTACACAAGCCTCTGCCAAATCACATCATCAGTATATACTAACATGGGTCAAATGTACATGTGTGTTGGACATCTCTCAAGCTGGAGGAAGAATTGAACACACAGAGAGGCTACTTCAAAGCTGGAATTAAAGGCGCTGAATAAGCTAGAAGATTATTGTTGTATAATTATTTAATTTTTGTGGAAATACCTTGTAAAAATCATTGATGCACAGAGAGATTCTCTGACTTCCTCTAGCTTCACTGGACAAGACACACAAGTCTACAAGGTATCAAATAAATCCTAAAATTAATAACAGTTAAAAGAAAATAACAAGAAGTATATCCAGTTATAATGTCCATGTACTCGTAAGCCTGTACATGTATGTACCAGAAGTTGCTGGTAAGAGTTAGCAATCATTTTCAAGACAACATATCTAGTAACACTGCAATGGGGTGAAATTGTACGAATGCCAGTCATTCTTGCTGGTCCTCAAGAGGCAGGCATTCAGTTTTACTCTCTGGATCATTACAGGGTATTATAAACATAACTAGTATCTCTTTGTACCATGAGGCAAAAAGCATACAGTTTAACTCTGACTGTGCATTAATCAAGTTCAGATATAGTATCCAAGGACAAATATCTGAGCATATTTTTAAATTTGAATGAACGCTATTGTGTTAATTATCCTTCAAATATTTTTTCGCAGTACACAGGACTTTTTGACTCAGATGTTCCCCAGCTTCAGCTGCGCCATATTCAGTCAAGTGATGAATTTACATCAATCATGTGCGAGCATTATTTTTTGACAGATCATAAAATAAAATAACCAACATGTACCTCGCCTTCACAATCTACTTTCTCCCAGTCCTCATCTGTTACACTACGAGTGTGCCTCAGTTGCCTGGTGATGTTGCGATATAATTTGCAAAACTGTCTGACGTCCATAACCCGTTCACTCTCAACATTTCCACCATATGTTCTAACCTAATTGAAGTATGAAATACAAAAAATCAAAAATCAGCAGGTAAACTGCGAGCTTTCATGGGGTGACTTGACACCCAAAAATACAAGGAGGCTCATTACGGTACATGTAACACAACAGCTTTGAATGTTAATTTCTGAATTCAAAGCACATATAACACTCTTCCCAGGCAGCTCTTTTAGATTGCACTAGCCCACACTGGCTTTTATAGTTTTATGGATTCTTTTTTTGTTTGATCTAAAAGCATTAATTTTCAGGAAATTATAAAAACGTTTTCTACTAGATCGATGTTCTTTCAGGCAAGACATAACCTAGACTTGAAACAGGAATTTTAGAAAAAAAAGAACAGCACATCTGTGAGTTTTTAGAGCAGTATAAAGCACTTGACTAACCTTGTAGCAAATGATTCTTGTAGTTGCTTTCCAAAGGTATGGATAACTCTCATCCGAGGGTTCCTTTATCGCAAATACGATATAATGGTCTCCGCCCTCCGCAAAGGTTTTCAGCCTGAACATAAGTAAACAGGTTGGAATGGTGGTGATGTAGCATTACTTTGTCAAAACTTAATTATATATAAATTGGGTTTACAAATATCAAAATTAATACAGTCGAACCTCCACTGACAGCCAACTCTCAACAACAGCCACCTCTCTACAATGGCCTGCACTTTTTTTGGTCCCAAAGGACAGTCCATAGATTCACTTTTATTTTAACCTCTCTATACCGGCCGAAATGGCAAAAGCCACTAAAAAGTGTCCTAACTGACTGCTAAAAACAACCTTTCCACAACAGCCAGTTAATCAATGACTGGCAAATCCCATTTTTTATTGCCAAAGGTTACCAAACTTGATCGGCACTGCACGTCGTTGGTCTTCGTTTCTGTTTTATTGATATCTTACGTACAGTTTATATGCTAAGACAAGCATTTTTCAAGAAAAGAAATGTTACACCCCCCAAAAAAACAGGTTTCATGTTTACAGCCCTACCTCCCCATAACAGCCACCGACTCTAAAATGGTCACTTTCCATTGTTCCCAAGGCGGCCATTGTCAAGAGGTTTGACTGTAGACAAAACAAAGCTGAACTCAAGTCAGTCAAGAAACATCTCCAGTAAGTGGCCAAGAGGGCCTCTTAGAATATGTGTGTTTAATAAGAAATTAAACACCATTTTCATCAACATATTAAATATAATATTTACGTTTTCATCAAGATCTCAATAGTACATGATTTTCCTATTCTGCCTTCCAGTTTGATATTACATAACAACTAAAAGATCAAATAGAATTGTTTTTTTTTTAAACTCAAAATTAAACTTGTCGACATGAAAAGGATACATAGAGTATTATCTACGTTTAGTGTTTTTACTTAACTTACGTTTTGTTGAGGTGTTCTACTGCACCTAAACAAAGAATGAAACCTCTGTCTTACTAAAAAAAATCACGCCAGGATAGATTTATTTCCGATACAAGTCAAATGAACCACAATCAATGGTAATTTTGAAGCCTAACTACGTGCCCATTACAAATTACAAATTACAAATTACAAAGACTTACTTGCAAGTCCCTCCTGATTGAGAACAGCTAAATCTTTGAGAACGAGAGCATGATCGTGTAATACCTTAACCACAAAACTATACTGTTGTCCCATTAGTTCAAAGGCTGCGTTCAATGCTTCCTTGGTTTGTCTGGAAACAAACAAAATGTACGAAACCGGAAAAACATTTTCAAATCACGTCCACATCTTCCATCTTATGTCGAGGATCCGTGTTGAAAGCGATTCATTGCTTGTCAGTGGTTTTGAAAGCTTTATGGCATGCGCAATCGTGTTGTTACTTTGCGAGAAGACTGGTGAGGAATATATTTTGTTTTCACCCGTTTTCACCAAAGAAGGTATGCTGACGGCGACGGACAGAGCACTCACCCCCAGTCCATGGACCACCCCAATGGGCTACCCAAATAGACTACCCTAAAATGGACTATTAAAAACTCTGAAAATAATATAATAACACCAGCATAATATACCAACCAGTGTTTTTCTCAAATAAATTGTAAACATTCAGATTCAGGATCATTCAGGCTGTATGCTTGCAAATTATTTTGGAACAATTAAGGGCTATTAATAGATGGAAAGGAAATGAATGTTCTGCGGACTACCTTGTTAATTTGACATTGTTTCTGGAAGGTTTACTATTCAGCCATTATTCTTACCGTCTCCTATCATGTCATCTTTTAGCTTGTGCATTGTGTAGTGTCTGATTTAATCGCATGGAATAAAAATCACTGTGTGACATTTAGTAATGTGCTATTCCTAAATCAAATATTAGACTGGGTTCCTCACTCACATTTCAATCGCTTTTCAAGTTATTATGTTTACACTTGTATGATCCTCATACTGATTGGTTCCTCTGATTGATAACAGCCATTGGTAATCAAATGATGAAATTTGGTTTGAGTTTACGCTTTTCGCGCCATTCTGTGTTCAGCAGTTGCTTATTTTAAGTACGATTATTCAAAATGGCGGCTAAAGGCTGTACAGGATGAACATAAGCGGAAGTTATGTGTAGTTTAAGTATACTAGCAGCTAAGAACATTAAATAGTAAATAGTACTCATTTAGAATATTATTTTTAGGGTTAGTCCATTTTAGGGTAGTCCATTTGGGTAGTCCAAGGATTGGGGGTCAGTGTTTTGTCCATCACCTATGCTAACTTATAAAAATATACAATAGTTAGCAACAAATAGTCTTGTCGAATACCGGTAGTTGACTTACAAGCGTGAAAGTACCCGCAAAAACAACATCCTGTAATATAATCTGAGAACAGACCTCTAAAACCTAACTCAATTTCCGCCTGTGAACTTTATAGACTAGTTCATCAATTTTTCCATTTTTCCTCTTGCGCCATTTGTTTAAAAAAGATTCTTTCTTTCGCGTCATGTTCGAATGGCAAAAGAAAAATTGCTTGCAGCTTGTATTGTCCGTCGAGCATGACTTTCTTGCTCGCTCAAGCAGCCAAAATCCCTCTTGCGCTTTTTAAAATGTCTTCTTTTTTTTATTGCGTCATGTTCAAAGGACTTAGGAAAAAGTGGGGCTGCTTGTATTCTGATACTAGTTATACTGTCGCATGTTTTATGACTTTGACTGTCTCACTGAGCTAAAATTTTTCACATTCAGTTTCCTTTTTTGTGTGTATTTTTTTTTTTTTTGTTACTGTTTTTTTTGTTTTTGTCTTTCTCATTTTCAAAAAACAGAATTACTTTATCTGGCATTATGTCAAAATAAATTTGACCATGTCGGTTGGCCTACACGATTAATACGGAGAGAAATCCAGAACCTTGAACTGAAATTCGAGGAGTTGGACCTTTATATCAAGTTTCGCCACGGAATTATCCGGATCAAACACTGCATTTCCACCTCATTTACTTTCCTCTCAAACTGAAAACGGGGCCAAAAAGCGCTAACATGGTTTCCGGCAGAATTCCATGGACTCTTACTGTTCCCACTGTTTTGTATCAGGCTATTTTATATCAAGGCGGATCTCGCGCTTTTCACGTCTGCCAGTTGATTCCTCAATAACATCTTTTTTTTTAGTATCGAAATTAAATTAAACTCGCCAGCTCACGGAAACACTGGCCGCAGTTGAAAAACTTTGGGATCAGGAAAAGGGATCAGCTACTCCAAAACTAAAGGATTGTTGCATGGAAAAATATAACCATTACGTATACTGGCCTAGACTTATTGCGAAACAAAATCTCTTCGGCCACATCGACAAATCGTGCTCCGCATACGTGGGTAGTGTACTTAGGATGGAGATGCCCATTGACATGACATGACAGATGAGAAACGGTTATGACGCAAACAGTGCATACAAAAACCGGATGTCGAATGGTGCGTAGGACCTGCATGCGGAATTCACTGTTTAACCCGGTTAAATATATATCCTAAAGTCTCTGTATTCAACTCTGTAGCTCCTCGGTGATTTTTACCAAAACTAGACCGTTGCAGTTGTGATAGGCTTGACCCAGAATTGCGATGACCTCATCCAATCCCCCGCAGGTTTAGGTTTAGCTAGCTGTCAATCAAGGAAGCTGATCATATTCCTGATGACGTGCACGCCAGACGAGTCACGGAAGAGTTAATTAGGCCGTGTTGTTCTAATTCTAAGAATTTGAAAAACACTATTGTGAACACATGCGATTCCACGCATCGTGGACTGAAGACAACGTGATCGATTGAACAGCGAACGTGTCGATAAACTTGAACTGTGAACGCATTTACGCAAAGGCATAAAACTTGAAACTTGCTGGTTGGTCCGGTTTTGTCGTTGGCAGCGATTTAAGGTATGCTAAAAGATCGTGAAAGAACTTGTCACTGCGCCATTCACTGACCTTGTATTTCTTTAATATTCAAGAGCATTGATAGTGTCAAACTTTAACGTCTTGTTTGTTTTTATAACGCAATAGTACCAAAACTATTGTACTGCCTTTGCCAACACGGGATTTTAGCTTTTACATTCTTGTTTGGTAAAGAAAATTCAGAACTGCGTTTACCGGAAACTGTGTTTCCCAACCCATATTCAAGTCTTTGAATATTGGTTGACTGCAGGCATATCATTGCTATACAATGTTCTATTGCCAATTACCACTTCTCAAGACCCTCTAGACAAAATATCCTGATGTCAAATTCTTCACGATGGTGTGCTAAAATTCTGTTGTGAACGTTTTGCTGTACCAGGGACACATTGCACTGTCTGTCGCGGGATTGGATTTAGGTCATTTAGAGTCTGGTGGAAGCTTAGCGAAGCATGATATGTATTGTATCATGTGATAGCATGGTAATTATCAGTTTCATACGAATAACAGCCGAAACGTGATGTATTGAACATATCCTCCTTTACAAAGTGATTATTCAATATTCACTGATTTGTTATGCAGCTCAAATTAACAGATTTGAACACTGAATCGGACATGGCAATGCAAATGAACTCTGAAAACGTTTAATTTAAGCACCTCGTCATATTAAGATCACGTTATTCTTTGCTGCTGAAACAGGCGATGTTTTACACCCCATCCTGCCGGGTGTTGGGGCAATTTAAATATTCTGACCGAACGACACTGAAGCGCTTTTCTTTAGAAGAGTTTGAATCCCGTGACTTTATTTTATTTCGTTTTGTCTTTAGGAAACAACATTTCCAAGTTCCTGTTAATTTAATTGTCATGAAAACCAATATTTTCAATTCCTGTCCAATACAACAGTAAATGCGGTTTTAAACGTTGCCACAAGGAAGTCATTAAAAAGCCTAAGCTAGACGTCACTATCCGTCTGGATAGAGCATTAAACTGGCTAACCTTCTCTCGTCAGAGTCTTCGAGATCAGCGCATTTTTCTCATTTCAGTTTGTCAGCTAAAGTTAGTGCACTTCAGTATACAAAGTTTGGTAGTGATTAATTGGAAAACTGAGAAAGACTTCTAACAACACTTCACTAAGCATTTTTGCTGATTTCCATTGGCTCGTCGACACTTCNTTGACAGATCATAAAATAAAATAACCAACATGTACCTCGCCTTCACAATCTACTTTCTCCCAGTCCTCATCTGTTACACTACGAGTGTGCCTCAGTTGCCTGGTGATGTTGCGATATAATTTGCAAAACTGTCTGACGTCCATAACCCGTTCACTCTCAACATTTCCACCATATGTTCTAACCTAATTGAAGTATGAAATACAAAAAATCAAAAATCAGCAGGTAAACTGCGAGCTTTCATGGGGTGACTTGACACCCAAAAATACAAGGAGGCTCATTACGGTACATGTAACACAACAGCTTTGAATGTTAATTTCTGAATTCAAAGCACATATAACACTCTTCCCAGGCAGCTCTTTTAGATTGCACTAGCCCACACTGGCTTTTATAGTTTTATGGATTCTTTTTTTGTTTGATCTAAAAGCATTAATTTTCAGGAAATTATAAAAACGTTTTCTACTAGATCGATGTTCTTTCAGGCAAGACATAACCTAGACTTGAAACAGGAATTTTAGAAAAAAAAGAACAGCACATCTGTGAGTTTTTAGAGCAGTATAAAGCACTTGACTAACCTTGTAGCAAATGATTCTTGTAGTTGCTTTCCAAAGGTATGGATAACTCTCATCCGAGGGTTCCTTTATCGCAAATACGATATAATGGTCTCCGCCCTCCGCAAAGGTTTTCAGCCTGAACATAAGTAAACAGGTTGGAATGGTGGTGATGTAGCATTACTTTGTCAAAACTTAATTATATATAAATTGGGTTTACAAATATCAAAATTAATACAGTCGAACCTCCACTGACAGCCAACTCTCAACAACAGCCACCTCTCTACAATGGCCTGCACTTTTTTTGGTCCCAAAGGACAGTCCATAGATTCACTTTTATTTTAACCTCTCTATACCGGCCGAAATGGCAAAAGCCACTAAAAAGTGTCCTAACTGACTGCTAAAAACAACCTTTCCACAACAGCCAGTTAATCAATGACTGGCAAATCCCATTTTTTATTGCCAAAGGTTACCAAACTTGATCGGCACTGCACGTCGTTGGTCTTCGTTTCTGTTTTATTGATATCTTACGTACAGTTTATATGCTAAGACAAGCATTTTTCAAGAAAAGAAATGTTACACCCCCCAAAAAAACAGGTTTCATGTTTACAGCCCTACCTCCCCATAACAGCCACCGACTCTAAAATGGTCACTTTCCATTGTTCCCAAGGCGGCCATTGTCAAGAGGTTTGACTGTAGACAAAACAAAGCTGAACTCAAGTCAGTCAAGAAACATCTCCAGTAAGTGGCCAAGAGGGCCTCTTAGAATATGTGTGTTTAATAAGAAATTAAACACCATTTTCATCAACATATTAAATATAATATTTACGTTTTCATCAAGATCTCAATAGTACATGATTTTCCTATTCTGCCTTCCAGTTTGATATTACATAACAACTAAAAGATCAAATAGAATTGTTTTTTTTTTAAACTCAAAATTAAACTTGTCGACATGAAAAGGATACATAGAGTATTATCTACGTTTAGTGTTTTTACTTAACTTACGTTTTGTTGAGGTGTTCTACTGCACCTAAACAAAGAATGAAACCTCTGTCTTACTAAAAAAAATCACGCCAGGATAGATTTATTTCCGATACAAGTCAAATGAACCACAATCAATGGTAATTTTGAAGCCTAACTACGTGCCCATTACAAATTACAAATTACAAATTACAAAGACTTACTTGCAAGTCCCTCCTGATTGAGAACAGCTAAATCTTTGAGAACGAGAGCATGATCGTGTAATACCTTAACCACAAAACTATACTGTTGTCCCATTAGTTCAAAGGCTGCGTTCAATGCTTCCTTGGTTTGTCTGGAAACAAACAAAATGTACGAAACCGGAAAAACATTTTCAAATCACGTCCACATCTTCCATCTTATGTCGAGGATCCGTGTTGAAAGCGATTCATTGCTTGTCAGTGGTTTTGAAAGCTTTATGGCATGCGCAATCGTGTTGTTACTTTGCGAGAAGACTGGTGAGGAATATATTTTGTTTTCACCCGTTTTCACCAAAGAAGGTATGCTGACGGCGACGGACAGAGCACTCACCCCCAGTCCATGGACCACCCCAATGGGCTACCCAAATAGACTACCCTAAAATGGACTATTAAAAACTCTGAAAATAATATAATAACACCAGCATAATATACCAACCAGTGTTTTTCTCAAATAAATTGTAAACATTCAGATTCAGGATCATTCAGGCTGTATGCTTGCAAATTATTTTGGAACAATTAAGGGCTATTAATAGATGGAAAGGAAATGAATGTTCTGCGGACTACCTTGTTAATTTGACATTGTTTCTGGAAGGTTTACTATTCAGCCATTATTCTTACCGTCTCCTATCATGTCATCTTTTAGCTTGTGCATTGTGTAGTGTCTGATTTAATCGCATGGAATAAAAATCACTGTGTGACATTTAGTAATGTGCTATTCCTAAATCAAATATTAGACTGGGTTCCTCACTCACATTTCAATCGCTTTTCAAGTTATTATGTTTACACTTGTATGATCCTCATACTGATTGGTTCCTCTGATTGATAACAGCCATTGGTAATCAAATGATGAAATTTGGTTTGAGTTTACGCTTTTCGCGCCATTCTGTGTTCAGCAGTTGCTTATTTTAAGTACGATTATTCAAAATGGCGGCTAAAGGCTGTACAGGATGAACATAAGCGGAAGTTATGTGTAGTTTAAGTATACTAGCAGCTAAGAACATTAAATAGTAAATAGTACTCATTTAGAATATTATTTTTAGGGTTAGTCCATTTTAGGGTAGTCCATTTGGGTAGTCCAAGGATTGGGGGTCAGTGTTTTGTCCATCACCTATGCTAACTTATAAAAATATACAATAGTTAGCAACAAATAGTCTTGTCGAATACCGGTAGTTGACTTACAAGCGTGAAAGTACCCGCAAAAACAACATCCTGTAATATAATCTGAGAACAGACCTCTAAAACCTAACTCAATTTCCGCCTGTGAACTTTATAGACTAGTTCATCAATTTTTCCATTTTTCCTCTTGCGCCATTTGTTTAAAAAAGATTCTTTCTTTCGCGTCATGTTCGAATGGCAAAAGAAAAATTGCTTGCAGCTTGTATTGTCCGTCGAGCATGACTTTCTTGCTCGCTCAAGCAGCCAAAATCCCTCTTGCGCTTTTTAAAATGTCTTCTTTTTTTTATTGCGTCATGTTCAAAGGACTTAGGAAAAAGTGGGGCTGCTTGTATTCTGATACTAGTTATACTGTCGCATGTTTTATGACTTTGACTGTCTCACTGAGCTAAAATTTTTCACATTCAGTTTCCTTTTTTGTGTGTATTTTTTTTTTTTTTGTTACTGTTTTTTTTGTTTTTGTCTTTCTCATTTTCAAAAAACAGAATTACTTTATCTGGCATTATGTCAAAATAAATTTGACCATGTCGGTTGGCCTACACGATTAATACGGAGAGAAATCCAGAACCTTGAACTGAAATTCGAGGAGTTGGACCTTTATATCAAGTTTCGCCACGGAATTATCCGGATCAAACACTGCATTTCCACCTCATTTACTTTCCTCTCAAACTGAAAACGGGGCCAAAAAGCGCTAACATGGTTTCCGGCAGAATTCCATGGACTCTTACTGTTCCCACTGTTTTGTATCAGGCTATTTTATATCAAGGCGGATCTCGCGCTTTTCACGTCTGCCAGTTGATTCCTCAATAACATCTTTTTTTTTAGTATCGAAATTAAATTAAACTCGCCAGCTCACGGAAACACTGGCCGCAGTTGAAAAACTTTGGGATCAGGAAAAGGGATCAGCTACTCCAAAACTAAAGGATTGTTGCATGGAAAAATATAACCATTACGTATACTGGCCTAGACTTATTGCGAAACAAAATCTCTTCGGCCACATCGACAAATCGTGCTCCGCATACGTGGGTAGTGTACTTAGGATGGAGATGCCCATTGACATGACATGACAGATGAGAAACGGTTATGACGCAAACAGTGCATACAAAAACCGGATGTCGAATGGTGCGTAGGACCTGCATGCGGAATTCACTGTTTAACCCGGTTAAATATATATCCTAAAGTCTCTGTATTCAACTCTGTAGCTCCTCGGTGATTTTTACCAAAACTAGACCGTTGCAGTTGTGATAGGCTTGACCCAGAATTGCGATGACCTCATCCAATCCCCCGCAGGTTTAGGTTTAGCTAGCTGTCAATCAAGGAAGCTGATCATATTCCTGATGACGTGCACGCCAGACGAGTCACGGAAGAGTTAATTAGGCCGTGTTGTTCTAATTCTAAGAATTTGAAAAACACTATTGTGAACACATGCGATTCCACGCATCGTGGACTGAAGACAACGTGATCGATTGAACAGCGAACGTGTCGATAAACTTGAACTGTGAACGCATTTACGCAAAGGCATAAAACTTGAAACTTGCTGGTTGGTCCGGTTTTGTCGTTGGCAGCGATTTAAGGTATGCTAAAAGATCGTGAAAGAACTTGTCACTGCGCCATTCACTGACCTTGTATTTCTTTAATATTCAAGAGCATTGATAGTGTCAAACTTTAACGTCTTGTTTGTTTTTATAACGCAATAGTACCAAAACTATTGTACTGCCTTTGCCAACACGGGATTTTAGCTTTTACATTCTTGTTTGGTAAAGAAAATTCAGAACTGCGTTTACCGGAAACTGTGTTTCCCAACCCATATTCAAGTCTTTGAATATTGGTTGACTGCAGGCATATCATTGCTATACAATGTTCTATTGCCAATTACCACTTCTCAAGACCCTCTAGACAAAATATCCTGATGTCAAATTCTTCACGATGGTGTGCTAAAATTCTGTTGTGAACGTTTTGCTGTACCAGGGACACATTGCACTGTCTGTCGCGGGATTGGATTTAGGTCATTTAGAGTCTGGTGGAAGCTTAGCGAAGCATGATATGTATTGTATCATGTGATAGCATGGTAATTATCAGTTTCATACGAATAACAGCCGAAACGTGATGTATTGAACATATCCTCCTTTACAAAGTGATTATTCAATATTCACTGATTTGTTATGCAGCTCAAATTAACAGATTTGAACACTGAATCGGACATGGCAATGCAAATGAACTCTGAAAACGTTTAATTTAAGCACCTCGTCATATTAAGATCACGTTATTCTTTGCTGCTGAAACAGGCGATGTTTTACACCCCATCCTGCCGGGTGTTGGGGCAATTTAAATATTCTGACCGAACGACACTGAAGCGCTTTTCTTTAGAAGAGTTTGAATCCCGTGACTTTATTTTATTTCGTTTTGTCTTTAGGAAACAACATTTCCAAGTTCCTGTTAATTTAATTGTCATGAAAACCAATATTTTCAATTCCTGTCCAATACAACAGTAAATGCGGTTTTAAACGTTGCCACAAGGAAGTCATTAAAAAGCCTAAGCTAGACGTCACTATCCGTCTGGATAGAGCATTAAACTGGCTAACCTTCTCTCGTCAGAGTCTTCGAGATCAGCGCATTTTTCTCATTTCAGTTTGTCAGCTAAAGTTAGTGCACTTCAGTATACAAAGTTTGGTAGTGATTAATTGGAAAACTGAGAAAGACTTCTAACAACACTTCACTAAGCATTTTTGCTGATTTCCATTGGCTCGTCGACACTTCGTTTTATGTTTCATGTAGGAACCCGTGACTGGCTACATTTCGTTTGAACTTTTCATTTTCCTTTTTAACTGGCGTGAGTTTACTCACGGATAAACGAAATTGCAGGTGTCTTGTGAGTTTGACTGACATAAACTTTCAGGCAATGATTTGTTGTTTATCTTTTCTTTAATTATTCGGCTGAAAGAACCCAATGATCAAATAGAAAAATATATTGATCATGTGCAAGGCTTTATCTTTCTCCCAATGAAAAGTTGCTTTGAGAACTTATTTCAGTGATCTCACCCACAGAGAGAAAAAAGATTTTAGAAGTTCCTTTCCCTGCGGTTTTGGATCAAAAAAACTTCCTTTTTCGCGGGAAAAACGCGGGTTAATATTTTGACGCACTCAATGTTGATGTTTAGGTCTGCGGTGGTCAAAAGCTGCCTTTGGTTGGCCAGTTAAGGATAATTGTTCGCATCACCGGAGAAACCACACACGTTTTGTACATATACAGCCTCTGGCATAGAAGATAATTTGTATGTACAATAGATACCGAAAAGCTAGAGGTGCCGGTCGGTGGACTAAATCGAACGCGGTTTCAGTTGTCCATTAGCGCGCGCTAAAGTGTTAAAGGGTGAAGACGGCTGACAAACTGGGTAATTTTATTCCTCCATTAATTATGAAACGTGAATTGTGCTAAAACTAACGAGTTCTTCTTATGGACTTTATTAACAGTCATTTGCCAAGTGATTCCATCGCCTAGCTAAAACGTTCACAGGAGCGGATTTTCAATGTTTGAACCCAAATAGAGGAAACCAAAGCTAAGATATTGGTTGACAGCCATCATCTTGACGGAGGCAAACAATGATTTCAGCTGTGGCCGATTCTTGCTCGGTTCGTTTGGATAAAGTTAATGGAAAAGTCTACAAATTTCACGCCTTAGTTTTTAACCCAGGTAAGTTTGTTTTCACTGTTGCCATTGTTCAATGTATTTTTCCTGAAGAGCTGAATCGAGGTCACTAGTTTTTATAAAACTGCGACGCGCTCGTTGACGGTTCGCGGTGACCAGTTTTGCTAGAAGAGTTTGTTCATACACAACATGATTTTAACGAGAATCGCTGTCTGTCTGATTTTCACCTTCTTGCTAAACCGTACTCAAGCGACAACCATCAAGAAAGAGTCGCCACTTTATGCTTTAAACGCTCAGAATAGCTCTTTAGCATCCTTTAGTAATCTGCGACCGGTAAGCCGCCAAAATAAACATCCTACATCCATCTTATAACCCTAGATCTCTCAGCGTATACAGTTTGTGTTTGCCTTCTTTTTATAACATACACCAAGAGAAAATCAAACTTGTTTTTGCTTTTCAGTTTGCGCATTCTCGGCGTCGCGCCACATAACCTGAACCTTTAAAAGTTTATATCGTTCAAGTTCGACTTATAAGCGAAAGTGCTGCCGTCTGTCTGCGGTTCAAGCAGACGGATCAAGTATTCGATTTTGTTTTAAATTTTAAACACCCGTCCTGCAGTTGCATTTGAAAGCATAGCAAAGTTCCATGATGCAGATTAACACTAACTGAAATAAACTGAACAATTTATTCGCTGTAAAGGCGGCGCTGTAAGGTGAGAAAGATCTAACACAAAAATTAATAAAGAATAAATATGTACTCCCATTTTTTCAACCGTGCAACAAATATGGAAAATGCTATACAAGTTGTAAGTCCGTATGGATTAATTATTTACTAATGTATACCAGTCCCTAATTTTCTGTCACTACGGTGCACCTTGATCAACAATACGAAAAAAAATACTTCTAACAGTTGTTTTCCTTTTTTCTTCATTGTTTTGTGTTTTTACACCTCTGGGTTGTGGAACAGAAAATTAATTTGCTTTCTGACGGCTTTGTTCGACTTTTCTTTCCACCATATGAAGCCACTTCACCGACCGGCAAGTGGAGTTAAAAAGTTTTTGTTTTTTATGAATTTAAAAGGCTAGCTTGCACTGAGACAGCTGCAGGAGCTCGAGTTTGTGGACTTAGTAATTTTGAATGCAATCTTGTCGGCAAAATATCATCAAAGTAACCACCTGTCGAAAAAGACAAGAAAGAGTTGCCTCATTGCGTAGCCTTACTTTAAATGTTTTTTTCTTCACACTGAACAATTAAGTAACGAAACGCGCGAGTGACTGCCGCGGAACTCAGTGACACAACTCAAGAAACCTCTTCTTCGTTGTGTGCAGTGCTTTGCCGTGGGCAAATTTGTTTTCTCCGTAATTCACTTTTACATTAGCGTTTTTCTCACATTCGCTCCAGGCCAGTTATGTCTGTTTGTCTATATATTTCATCTCATAAAGTATATTTCGCACCATTTCGAGAGCTAAATCATTTGCTACGTTCAGTTGACTTTAATAAATTTTCCACACCACCAATTACCAGGTTGTCACCCACATGCTGACTTCGACAGCGAAACTCATTTCCTCAGAGTTTTCTTTTATCAAAATAAGTGATCGTGGTTTAATAACTTAATAGATGTCTTGGCGGCTTGTCGTGTTTGAATGGCAGAACCTATCCAGATAAAACCAGCACTATCGCATTCAAATCGCTTGTTCACGATTTCACGATTTAGAATTTCAGGGGAATTTAAACGTTCGTAAAAGCTTAAAAAGACGCTCAATGCGGCTCTTTGAGAGATTCTGTACGACGTTTCAGCGTTTGACCTGTAAATAATTGTTCCACCGTCCAGCTTTAATGTGTGTTTTTAACCTCAAATTAATTTCGAAGGAGAAGTTAATTGTCCCCCTTTCATCAGTGAACTATATAATAATTTTCGGTCTATAGGCACTCCCTAAGGGAGATAAACTCAAACAGGAGCCTGACTCAAATTGAACGAAAACGTACGTTTGCCCTCGTGCAGAATGTGAGCAACTTTTTGGTCTTCGAAAAGGTGACAAAGGTGAAGGCAAATTCTGTCGGCAACAGAATCTTTAAGTTCGAGCTCAATCCACCAGGCCACCTTACAAATGTTGAAAACTCCCTCCACGTTCATAACTTGCACAATTGGCCTCAGACTGTAAAGAATAGAGACAAATCTCTTCAGCCGGGGGACTTCACACTCGTCAGCTTTGTTCAAGAACACGAAAAAGAAGAGGTACTATTGTTCAATCTGACGTGCGAATCTTTGGTAAATTCACGTGATTGAACAGGTGACTTGCTCAGCAGATGGTGTAACAGTTATTTCATCCCCAAGCTCTACCGACGGTGCGATGTTCATAGCGCCTGGACGCTAATAACTGTTGTTCTTGCCCAGCAACGCTGACAGAGCTTATTTTTGTGGTTTCTTTCTTCAGATTCGCAAGGAAATAACAAAGAAGCGTACCTTCGCCGAAAAAATTTAACGTCGGCATCTGTCACAAGGTATGTGCTAAGTCAGACGAGCCCTGTACAGTACTAGTTACACTATTAGGGAAATTGTTCACGTGAACGTTTCCAGTCTGAGATTGCAAAAGGAAGGAAAAGAGGAAGGAAAGAAGGAAGAAAGAAGGGCGGGAGGGACTTGGGAAAGAAGTTCCGTAGTTTTATTGTGATCAATTTAGCAATACTAGCCGAAATATTAACAAATTGGCAATCTTTATAGCCCACAGACCCATATAAGACGATCAATAGTTAAAATGTCTTCACTTCATTTTAGGGGAATTTTGTCCCAGCAACCAAAGACAGAGTGGAAATGCGCTTACAACGAACTGCTCAGTGGAATAAAAGACCTCCCAAAACAGAAAGAAGATTCTTCACCTGGGCCCATCAGAAAGAGATCCAAAACCGTGTCACAAGATAGCTTTTCAAATGAGTCTGAAGTCTCCAAGATCGACAAACAGAGAGTGCGGTTTACAGGCGTGGAAGAAGGCTCTGTGGTGGAGACTCCAAAATGTCCGACTTGTCTTCAAGTTATTCCTAAAGACACGAAGGACTTCGATTCTCTTATGGAAAAATCGGTAACTATGGTAACAATGTCTAATGGCAGGCTCCACGCCCAGTCGATGCGGTGCTTTAAAAGCTGTTCATTATTTTTTGGAGGAATTTAATCAAATGGTAGCACTAATTTGGTTCGTTTTGATTCCATTTTAGAAAGAAGAACTTGTGACGATAATTATGAACCTCAATATGAATCTACAAAATAGAAGAAGGAAACAGGGATACTGTCCTTCTGAGAAAGACATCGCTCAATTGTAAGTATTAAATGCTTGATTTTGTACACTAAAAGCCGGGTTTGTCTATTGATCATGATGAAACAGAGAGCTATAGGGACAAGTTGAAGTGATGATCGCGGGGGCGAAGAGAATTTGCTCGTTGTAAAATCGCAACAGCAGACCAGTAATTTTCTTTCCTTTTTCTCTCTGCACTTTTTAAAAGATTGATTGAAACAATTTCTTTGTGTTTGTGTTGAGATATATAAGGAAATATCGTGAAAGCTTGCGAGAACTCGAAAAAGCCGTACGGAAACACTCGCCTATAGCTATAAGTTACGGTTCGTGTTCTTACTCGCATTTCTCGTTGTAGTGACACTGCAAACTGCCATTCGTGCTTAATTGCATGTGACACACCAAAAAATGGTTTTTATTTCTTTATAATCGGTTTCTGCAATATGACCAATACGTTATTTAGTACTATCACTATTTCTTGCAGAATGCAGTTGAACATCAACAAACCAGACCAAACGGCTCCAAAAACCAAGCCGACAAGAACGCGACGCCGATTGAACAGAAGTAAAAGACTGACGTCCATATAAACAGAAACATTGCCGGGCTGAAACTGTCGGTTGAATAATTGTATATGAAACACGAAGTTGAGAGAATACCAGAGCCACTATCTAAGCGCATTTCGAATAAACGTTACGAAGTGGACGCGAGACAGCTCCAAATCAGTTTCTAAACTTGAATGAAAAGATACGGTTTAAAACCAGGCTTGGTATGGGAGATGGAAACTTCAAGTTGTGGCCGTGGGGAAAAAAGAAAGCTAACAACTACACAACGAGGTGGTTTTTGCTGAAGCAAGAGAAACTTTTATCTTTGGGAGCTGAGGGAGAACTGAATAAAAAAGAGTAAATTTTGAAGGAACGCTAATGGGCTATTAAGTCCAGTTAAAAGGAAAAATATTTAAATTAAGACATAGATTCTTGTGGAATGGGTTTTAGAAAATAACAAAATGTGGACTTCCAATAAAGGAAAGGTAGAATAATAGACCAATTTCGATATATTGAAATTCAGTTTAAAACAACAGACCTCAGTACGAGGCTCTGCGGAATAACTGCAGAGTTTGTGGGGTTTATTTCCCAGAGCTTCGTACAGAGGTCTATTGTTTTAGGTGAATTTTAATATCTCGAAATTGGTCTATTGATAACTTCAAGACAGGAGTAATAGCCAATCACAGCAGACGCAGAAATCGCGATGAACCAATCAGAACTCGAAGCCAAAGAGTGCAATGTCAATCAAACGCGAGAAAACCAACACACGACCAGTCTGAGTGTTGGTTTTGCTTATGATTGGTTTAATGATAACTGTATAATCACGAACTTTCTAAATCAATTGCCAATTACAGAGCTCTAGAGAAGAGATCTGCGAGGCCCTATTAGGGGTTTTCGGGATGCGAGATATTTAGGTAAAAAGTTAACAGGATGCAAGATATTTTGGGGAAAAATTAATGGGATGAGGGATTTTTAGATTAGATAAAACGGGATACAGAGCTGGAAAATAGTTAATTTTTGCAATTGGAATTAAAGGGTAAGGGATATTAAGGTCAAACATTAACGGCATGAGGGATACTCAGACCCCGCTTCCCTCCCCCAATGGGGCCTCATTTGCTGAGTAATCAGTGTATAAATGTATGGATACCGATAAGCTTAAAGTATTTATAAACAGAATATATAGACAGTACATTTATGCCCAAAAAATATGCTGAGAAATTTAAAACAAAATGTAGAGTTTATTCTTTGAACATTTCTGTTAGTAAATTAAGATTAAATAGCCAGAAAAATGACTGCAGATTTTTAATGTAGCAATTACCGACCCCTGATAAGTATTTAAATTCTGTTTCCAAGGGGGATAACCGTGCCTCCAAAAGGCGTCAGATCGAGCTTGGAATGCACTTCAGTCCAGGAGTCTTTTTTTTAAAGGGTAATTATTTATTTGTACAGTTCTGTAAGTAAATAAAATAAAATTCCATGTTCTGCTGTTTCAAGTTTTCGTTGTTGACGCCTATGATGCGGGAGTGTTGGGGTACTTTTCCCGAGTGGGACTCCGACATAAAAAGGACGGGGGTGACCCTGGTATCTTTTAGGGGTTAAAAAAGCGATCTCCATGTTGAGCCTCATAGAGGTCCACAGCGGAACTTTCGCAGTACTTTTTAAGAGTATTGAGCTGGAAAAAACATATGACAGAGGATAATGTGTTGTTTTAGAATTGGTACGTATACCTCTTAGAGGTGAAAAAAAATTTGAAGCCACTCCCGCAAAACAGGATCTTGGTACCTCCAATTCGACCAGGATAAAGGACCTGCATGAAAACCAACTAAGGCTGATTTGGCTTCCTAAATATTGAAAATTTAGGGGTTCTTTACAATATTTCCGATGAGCACCCCATCCTTCTTATATGGGAATCCCCCAAGGGTATTTTTGCCAGCAAGTGCATTTTGATAGGGAGAATGATTGTCAGCAGAAACAAGCGAGGGTTGGGGAGGGCAGAAAAAGTGTCCTGAAGTTGAAAGACGAGTGGCGTAGAAGGACTGTTGAAATTTATTTCCGCTATGTTTAAGCAAAATGAAGGCAAAAAAGTAGGCAATTGCACACGGCGATTAAGTAAATGTATATTTATTCTCCTTCCCAAAATCAAGTCAAATCAGTTGACACATTAAAACACAGGAGCATAAAAAAGCAGATAACTATGAAAGCAATATTATAAAAACTTGATAGAAATTATATTTATCAAAAGTTATAATTTTATAATTTGATCTCTTACATGTAATAGAAATTGCCAAAATTTAATTTCCATAGATATATTAAAAAAAAAAAAATCCAAAAAAATCTTTTGGTTTAGCAGCTTTTTCAAAACTCGTCATGTCTTGTCAGATCTTTGCCATAGTTTGTTGCTTTACTTCCAACAAAAACATTGTATTTTTCAAGGATTTCATCCTTTGTCAAGACCTTGTCCTGAAATGAAAAAACAGGAAATAAGTAGCCCGCAATTCCTTGTTTCATTATTTAGTCTACAAGGCTTTGTTAAACCTAACCAGCAGTGTGTTTGTTTTAACTTGGACTGATTCATTGTATTACACATTTATTGATGCATTGCATTGCCAGTGCGCAAGTGATCTCTGAGTGGCAAACAGGGACTGTTGAGGGGAGGGGCTGGTAGAGCTGTAGCCCTACCACTTTTTTGCTTAAGTTGATTTTTAGGGTTCCAGATGACATGGATAATTGCGAGAAAATGTATGATGAAACAGTGACCTCTAATGCAGGTTTGTCTTGGCCAGATTTTTCAGCCCCACCACTTTAAAATGGTCTCTGTGGTACCTAGCGTGTAGCATTGGCTTTAAGAGGTCTGTGCTGAGCAAATAGACACCAAACTACAGAAACTAATGACTTGCCACTAATTAAGATCACACCTTTTCTGTACTTGACCTACACAGGTTTTAGAGAATAAAATTAATGAAATAATACTTTGCCACAGTGTACAGCATCATAATATCTATTGTATTAGTTATGAGAGTAAGTATAAAATAGATTTAGTCAAGTCTAAAAGCGAAGCTCCTGGGTCGGGTTGTTTAAAGCTCGATTAAGGTCATTCCCCAGTATTGCATTGCGCATCCCTACTGCGCATAATTTCACGTCCTCGCCATAGAGGTAAATCATCATTTTCTCGCAAACGAGTATGGTGACCTATCATTTTTTTCTGTTGTTTTGGATTGAGTAATAGATTTCTCTGTATAAAATAAATATGGACCATTTCTCAGTGTAGAACAAAAAACAATCGTCGGAAACATGAATTTAGCATGCAATCGTGACTACAATCATGGTGCTATTATAAGGATTTATAGGGTATAAACAAGGTGCTGTTGCTCCTAAACGAGCATGGGGACCCCTCATTTTTATTTTAAAATTTTAGTTCCTATAATATACACAATCAATAGGCAAAGTTTCACAAAAATCTCAGTGCAGGTTCTATTTCAGTGGAATTACCTTAAGCTAACCCAGGATAAGTGGGAATTTTGATTTGCGTTTTGTACCTTTGCGGTGAGGTTTTTCTGTACATTGTTTGGCCTTCTGTTTTGAGTTTGAATAGTCTCAAACTACACAAATCAAAGGCAGTGAAAAACATTTGTATACACAAAAAATTTATACTTGAGTTAACTTTTCATATTGGGTTAGCTTAAACCGGCTTCCAAACAACTATTCACAACAAGTTAATCTGACATGAGCCTGCGCTCCAACCGGAAACTAGCACTTGGTCGGAGGTTAACTTTAGAAAAAAACACATGACCTTGATGAGCTCTAAACTTGAGCCCCCGATATGGTCATGTGATGCTGGTCAGCAGATCCCTTGTTTTGACAGGTGTCAATTGACTATAACATGGATGTCCAATGTCAAAGAAGTATGCTATCAACTGGAGTATGGCTGTCATGTCGCGCGACTCTGCTATCGTTGTCGTCTTGTGTACTTGCCCATGAGTGATACCGCTAGCCATGATAACCACGAGAAAATCAATGCATGGGTTTCCTTTACTTTTCTATATGGGTATGATGCTCTGCTTCACTGCCCTTTGGGTTGCCAGTGCTCTGCTATTAGATTACTTATAGATACTTACTTTATCAGCATCAGCACGTTGAATCAAGTGGCTTGCTTCAGCTTTGATAGGGTCATAATTTGAAGGAAACATCCACTCCTTGACTTCATCCTGAATAAATAAAAAACAATTGAAAATTAATTACCAGGTATTCTAGAATTTGATTAGTTACTAGCATAACAATGTGCAAGTGGCCAAGTCCAAGCCCCAAACTTTCTCAGAGCCGAGGAGCCCCAAATTTCAACAATAAAATTCAATTGATTACGTTATGATACTANGCTACCACTGATGGCGCAATAATACAGTTTGTGTTAATCAAGTGATGTGATGTCTACAGTAAGAAAAGAATCATCAATGACTGCTTTGAAATGTGCACTGCGTTCCGACAGTAGTGCTAAGCAAACAGTTAAATTTTAAAAGCGCGGTTATAAGATCTAAAAGATCTTCTTGTTGTTTTTTTGGTTGGGAGGTTCTCAAAATGCCCATAGCCACCTGCTACACAGTGTTCTCTTTCTTCTTGAAATTTTCAGGGGAACCCTGGGGATCCAAACCTGGATGAGCACCGGCCCTCCAATGTGGCATCCTTAATTGTTGAACTCCCAAAAATTTATGTCTGGAATCACTAGAATAAGTGTGAAACTAACTGAAGACTGCATGTTTATTACCCAAGTACTCTTGAGGTGATAAAAGTCCATCTTTATCTTTGTCCATGTCTTCAAGGTTCTCCTGTGCAACTGTATCGTGCATGTGCTTGTGTTCCCAAGGATAATACATCGCGGCATACTCTTCTCTCGTCAGTTTGCCATCTTGATCAAGATCTGCAGCTTTCCATCGTCGCTCTTCTATTATTGCTTGGTTTCTGTACACATCACTCTCCTCTACATGACATATATAAATCAATTTGCAACTTAACTGTGGCAAAGTCAAATCAAGTATATGATGAGACTTGAGCTTGTTGGCCAATAGATAAACCTCTGAAAGATTTATTTTGCTACTGCAACTCTCATTGTCTGCACGGATCTCTGGGCCAACAATTTTTGAAGATATCACACCCAGTTAATCTTACAAAAGGGAGGCGCAGTGGCCTCCAGGGCCAGGGACACTGCATTGTGTTCTTGGGCAAGACACTTTACTCTCACAGTCCCTCTTTCCACCCAGGAGTATAAATGGGTACCGGTGAACTTACCGCTGGGATAACCCTGCAATGGACTAGCATCCCATTCAGGGGGGAATAGAAATACTCCTAGTCGCTTCATGCTACACAAACTGGGATAAGCTCTGGCCTGATGGGCCACTTGGCCCGTATGCAGACTTTACCTTTATATAACCTTGCAATGAGTTTTTAATTGACCTTATGTATGATTCATTGTTGACTCAAGTCAAATGTATCAACAAGTCAGGTTTGTACAAAATATTATTGAAAACTATAAATTTTGCGAGTATGTTGGTGGCCATGCAGTCAAATTCAAAATGTACTTCTCCCTCCATTCTGACTGAGATTTTACTTTACAATACCTGGCTTTTCTCCATAGCTGGCTGTCTTGTATTGTTCCCATGTAATAGGTGCTTTGGGATCAACTTTCTTCCCTGCGGCAGAATCCTTTTGGGACAGAAGTGACTGCAACCTTACCATCAGCTCACCCCAACGCTTGTTGACAGTTTCTTCATTGTGTTGTGTTTTGGTAAAATTAATCCAGTCAGCAAGTTCTTTTGCTGTGATCTTTCCATCTTGGTCTTTATCGATTTTATCAACAATTTTCCTGTGTAAAATATCACAGCTTTTAACAATTTACATGATCTGTATAATTTCTAATACATCATGAGGTATCCCTGTCTTTGATTCACTTCCTGAGAGGAACAACCCCACTTTTCAAAACTTCAAGTTTGGGCCATGCTTTTCAAGGAAAAGTTTTAAACTTAGCCCACTTGTTAGAATGTCCTAGGGCCAGCGAAATCAAACATTGAATCACTTGTAGCCAATTTAATACCCCAAAGTAATAATAATAATAATAATAATAATAATAATAATAATAATAATAATAATAAAACAGATAACATACTATACAAAAAGAAAGGTGAAAATGGATGGTCAACAAAAGAGACATTAATCCCCATGCAAGGCACACCACCTTAAAGGAGAAGAAAAAAGAAAAGAAAAAAAAAAACACCAACAAGTTTTGAGATGAAAGTATCAACAGCAACTAAATCAAGTTAATACAGGTTCCACTCAAAAGTCATGTAGTTACGAAAAGCTTTAGACAAGTGTGTAATGTGTTTCACTTAGCGTTGGTGTACACTGAAATCTTCATTACAGTCCCGCTATGTCAGTGTGACATAGAGTATTAAACATGAAGTGATTGTCACGCAACTAAAATTGTCATGAAACGCCTGTCACAGATCTGGGTTACACGTGCTGGGATAGGATTTCACTGAAATCTCTCACTTCTATATAGACCCCTAGATAAGCTTAAATACATTCGCAAAGAAATACCATAGTCAAATTTAAGATTTCACCCGTTTTTGTTATCATGAGATCTACTTACTACGCGCGAGAAATCAGTTTTACCGCGCGCGAAGAGTATACAAGCGCGATTCAAGCAGGCGTCGCCTCATAAATTCCTTTACATGATGCAAACATTTCCTTCAACTGTAACGCATGAAAGAGACACTTACTGTATTGGCAGCTGTATATCGACATTATGAAGCTAAAACACTGCATCCAGAGACGAACTTTATGAGGACAGAAGCCAAACTTGAGTCGGCTTCTAAAGCTTGCCTTCAAAACAAAACTACAGTGAACGATCAGTGCATTAGTCAAGACAAATTCCCCTTACCCTAGCCTTTCTTTAGATTCCTCAGGAGTCAACTGGTCGAAAGATTTCTTTTGCTTTCCGAGAAAAGCTTCGTGATCGTATTCCTTGTTGTGTTCGCCTTTCCCGTTGTAATGTTCCTCATCTGACAGATTGCCATTATTTCGCGCGCCCCCAGTCCTTTTCGTCGCTCCTTCGACCGATTTCGCGCAAAAAGCGAGAAAACAAAGGGAAATGCACAATGGGCTGAAAATTTTAGCCATTTTGCAAGAACAAGAAACGAAAAATATCTGCCAGTTACTCCAACACCCTTGAGAATTCCTCTTCACCGCGCAAAATTAACCACGTACAAGTGTGGATTTCTCCAAAGACGTGTGCATTTTTCTAGTGACAAGGCCGTCATGTTTTGGTGATGCTTGGGGAGATGTGATTGGATAGTTTGTGTCATGTGGTACGAAAATGACTCAATTTTTGCCACGTTGGCAAAAAGATCTTATCAAAGATCCCCTGAGAAGCCCAGAAAAATACTTCATTCACGACTAGGAGAAAGGCCCATTCATTTAATGGCTGTCTGTCTCATCCCGATATCGGCCTTTTGTTTGTAATACCCTTGAAAGAATCTTTGTCGGGTCGCTGAGTCACGAAAGCCAAATCAGCAATCGTGAATGACAGCACTCGGTCCAAAAATTATGGGAATGGTATAAAATGTCTCGAAAAGAAACCCGAAACAACAACGACATCTTTTTCGTTATCTGTTACGAAACACTCGAAACTTGTGTTCTTTTGTTTTTTGGTGTTTTTGTATTTTGTGATTTTTCCTCCACATGGAAAAACGGGAGAAAACAAGAGGAAGAGGGAAAAGTAATAGAAAACTCGGGTTTCTTTCGAGAATAAAAAAAGAAGATTCTGTAGGGGTGGGGTGTGGGTACAGCAAACTGAAGGATTGGAATATATACAGTGCAGGCAAAGGGGTAACACTCGGCGTAATGTTCTTCAGATCTTTCTTGATGCGGAAAAAGTTTCTTAGCTTCAAAATAGGGCGCGGCGCTGGGAGGCAATTGAAATAGTGCGACTTCTTTGCTCAAAAGGTAGACTCTATAGATTTTCAACCATCAGGGGTCCATAAGAGCCCGGGGGGTACTCCCTTATAATTATGGGCTATATAGGTATGTGTGGCTCAAAGAGTATGGTTTTTGAGCTCTTTTGGTCTGTATAGTAAAAGGGCATAGATTTTCACATTTTGGTCTGAAATAGGATTTTTTACAGTCTCGCTTGCCATTGGGTATTTTGTTTACATCTAACAAGCTTTTTCCGCAACATTAGCAACTTTGCAACCCTTCTCAAATTTTAACGCAAATGCGAGCCACTTCTGGTTAACTGTTTTCATTGCACTAATTTAAGAAGTCTGAAATGGGGCACAGATGTTCGGCCAGCTCTGAAATATCATGTGGAAAAATCACAAATTTTGGTCTGAAATAGGGTAAGCGTTTCGATGTTCGGGCACACCCCTACCAAAAACTTAAGGGAGTACCCCGCACTCCTACCTCGGGCATCAAAGACTGCGAGGCATTTAAAAATTGGTCAGCTCTGCATACTTGGGTCAGCTGTGTAAAGGCTGACGTGTCGAGCTTCGTTAGCTCGTTTCGCGCACCGCGCGCGCTTGTATATCGAGCTCGCTAATCTGCCTGCTCTACAGGCTAGACCTTTGTCATAGAAAGGGCTGTATAGACTAATGCTGGAAACATCAGCTTCACAATTCGAAGAGGTTGGTGCTAATACTAGAGACGAACAGAAAAACATACAAGCCCGAACACGCTTCTGCCCCCTAACCCTTACCCTTAAGTATAAACCATGTTTGGTGCTTATGAGGCATGTTTGGGTGTTTGGGGTACAAGTTCAAAATCACTTGATTCAAACCGCACATTTGACAAACTGTAAACTTGTATTCTAGTCTCAAGACAGAAAGCACTCCACTTTAATTTTTCAGTTCTTCTCAAGAGCCAGAGAGCTTACAGTTTAAAATGTAAGACTGACTCTATTACAACCATGCATTTTCTTAAAAATATAACACCTAAATAAATTTCAACACCTTAGATTGGTTTCATGGATCTGATTTATTAGTAAAATCTCTCTTTTAGGAATGCAAAACCTTCAGTTAAGCTGTTAAGTTTTTGTATGATAACCTCATTAACAAGGTTTCCTTGATTCATATCAAAATCAACTTACAATATGCAAAAGCTTGTCAGTATCAGTAAAAGTTAACGACATAAAGATTAACAAAATATGAAAACTTAAAACTTTGTGGGGCTACTACCTTCCTTTCAGTGAAAAACTCTCAGCTCTATCTAGGATAAATTCAAAGTTTTTTTATAAATGTACAAAATAATTGATTAGAACATGTCCCATTCTTTTTGCTCTTTTGTATGTTTCTTTTGTAGGAACTCTAATTTTAAAATTAGCAATCAAATATTCATTCAACAAATTCAAATCTCTCGATTTTTGAACATTTCAGAATACTGCACAAAATTACCTGTACGTTCAAACTGAACTTTACATGACACATACCCATAAGCACAAAGAAGACAAGTGACAGACAACAGGTAACAAATTGATTGAAAAAGTACTTTGTCTTTGTCTCAAGCCATTGTAAAATTGCATCTTGTCTGCACATTAGTTTGCATGCAGCATAAATGCCAAAAACTATATTGGTTAAAGTACACGTAGTTCCTAGAAGTTTGTATGCAATTACCCATTGAAGTATATTCTGCCCTTTTTCCCAGTATATTGACAATTATTTTTTTTTGAAAACAAACATGTAGTGGCCTCTGCTAGATTCTTATGTAAAAATATATCTTTGAAAATTATTTTATAAACCTAGTAAATATACAATGTATATATAACTTAAATTGCAATGATTTTCTTTAAAACTCGTCATGTCTTGTCAGTGCCTCTCCAAAATCGGTTGCTTGGCTACCAACAAAGACATCATGCTTTGCAATAATCTCCTCCTTGGTAAGTTCAGAATCCTGGAAAAAAGAAAAATAAAGATATGATAATCAGCTAACATCATGGCAAGTGAGCAGCTGCTCCAGTTGGAGAAATATCTATGGGCTGATGCCTTTGAAACAGTTGCGCAAGCTAAAAATAGTGCTACATGTAAGATAAGGCTTGACGAGCAGAATAATAATATTAAGATTCCACCCCCACCCCTCTCCCTCCCCCTGCCTCCCTTACTGGAGTAAGAATGGGCCTACCGTTATTTCAGCCATACCATATTTCATGATATTTAACACAGATTTTTCCAGAAGTATAAAAAACTCTCAATTACCAGAGAAATGAAATGACCCGAATCTGGTAGTGATACTAATAAACAAATTTATCTCACCCCATCTGTATCTGCTTCACGAACAAGATGTTTAGCCTCTGCTTCAACATGATCATAATCAGGAGGAATTATCCAGTCCTTGACTTCATCCTGTTGAAACCAAGTTATATCATAAGAATCAGTTAGTCACTACAAAGCTTCTGTGGGTCCGGTGCATGACCATGGGATAAGTGGCTGGTGCATTGCACTTCAGATCAAGCAGAGTAGGATGATTATTGTGCTGTTGTCACGAGTAAGAAACACTACTCTTACGTTGTGTTCTATTGGGATCAACCGTTTCAACTGTAACTGGTTTGGGTTGATACATTGATGTTTCTCAAAAGAACACTTTTCCACCTGTTTTTGGTTAAAACACGATAACTCCTGGGAATACTTTTACGTGAGCTACAAACACACAACATAATCATACAAATGCTTTTTCAACTGTTTCAACAACCTGGTTTGAGGCTGGTTGAAAAGTGTGATCAACAAAACCAACTGAAAACAGTTTTTCCCCTTTAGAACAGGAGAAAAACCCAACCAACCCAACCAACCAGAAATGGTTGATCCCAATAGAACACGTCCTTACACTACTCAATCTTGTCTCAAAACCCGTGTTTTTGGACAGCAGTGATCAAACAAGCAGCGCTCTGGAAAAAATAATAAACTCGAACCATTATTCCTGGTTCCTGTTTGACTGAGCACATACATTTGAGTTCAGCAATAGTTCTGAACAAGGGTAGTTAGAGTAACTTTTGTTACTACATGTAATGCACCTTTGCAATTTCTTGGATTGCTGCCTCTAGAAAAGAGATTAATACAGTGCCTCTCTCCTCTAAGAATTATGAATTAGTAACTTCAAGGGAAATGTTAGGGCATATCTGACTTAACATTAAGAAACTAAACTTTCAATATTGTCGTTCTTTCACCCTATGGAAGCTGGGAAATGCACCACCTGCACAGGATACTTAGATGTACATGTACATCATTGTAACCCGTCAATGCAGGCTGAGGCTAGAAAAATAAAATTAAGGCCAGTAAATGCTTATGCCTTACTCCTGGGTGGGGGTGAGACAGGGAATCCCATATGAGAAGGTCAGGCTTGTGGAAAAATTTGAATTAACCCCCTTAAGGAGGTCAATCTGGAGGTGGCTTAAGCTTTATTTGACCCTAAAAGACACTAAAAGACAGTATCATTTTTACTTAAAATTTGAGTGCAACCTAAAAGATACTTTGACAACTAAAAGTAGTGGTGTTTCATATTGGACACCTTAAGTGAGACCAAAATCCTTGATTTACACCTCTAAGCAAGATGACAAGCATCCTCAACCATTCCATATGGGAGTCCCCTCCCCTCCTAGTGAAGATGGCCAATAAGAAGGCAAAAAAGAGGGAATTAATGAGGGAGATTTCTGATAAAATTTATGGCAGTATTTAAGTGATCGCAAAATGATATGTATCATGACATACCCTATCCATTTTTCCATCTTTGTTTTTGTCACGAAACTCAGTAAAATGTTCTCTTTCTGTCTTGACCCAATCAGGTTCTTCTGTGTCCTTATCTTTTTCATTCTCTGGATACAGATCTCCTGAATTTGGAAGAAAAAGTCATCATGTAAAAGAAGTTGTGATCCAGCGATGTAGCTAAGAAAACACTAAGCTGGTTCATAAACACAACCAGACAGCTTTTATGTCCTTTGTAACTCCAAAGTTGCCCTTAGGATTTGTTTTCATGTAAAATTTCAGCCAGATTTTAATTTCTCTTTTAGCGGGTGAAGTTAGCTGGCTGCAGGCCCTTAGTTACATCCCTTGTGACCCTACTAGCAGCACCAACAATTTCCACCTCCATTCAGTTCCAATTAAAAAAGACTCCTGGTCAAAAATGCAAGCAGTAAATACAATGCAGTGTGTCCTCTAGAACCTGCACTAATAGGCCACTTTCAATATATCAAAATTTAGCTTGATAGTGAGGCCTAGAGAACACAAACAAAAGAAATTAATAAACATGACCATTCAATTTCCTTTGTTTGTGTCCTCTAGGTCTCACTGCCAAGCTGAATTTTAATATATCGAAAGTGGTCTATTGTGGCTTTGCAACTCCCCACTTGAATATTGCACTTACTATTTCTTGTTCACTTTACCTTTACAGAAAAGAAAGAATGCTTGCAGTTTAAGGTCTATAAGAATTATACACGTCTATTAACAGCTGATTCTACATTTAACACTCTCACTTTTTTAAAAATGAAATATTACAATATAATTTACCAATGTACCTAAGTATTCCTCCATAGAGACAAATCCATCACCATCTTTGTCAATATCTTCTAAGGTCTCATCCACTACAACATCTTTCATATGATCGTATTCTTCTGGATGAAGGAATGCTGTGTATTCCTCTTTTGTAACTTTATTATCTTTGTCCACATCAGCCATTTTCCAGCGTCGTCTGTCCCGTGTCAACATTTCTTTGTAATCAAACTCGTCCTCTTCTGAAAAATAATAAGGAAAACAAAGTGTTTACAAAAAGGATCACATTAAGGACAATTTAAGCACAATTTATCGACTGGCAACTTCTTAGAATTTACAAGTTATCACTCCCACTTCAGCAACAAACTCCAGAAAAATCATGATAATCAAACTCACTCTTTTGGTGACAGTTTTCCAGAACTTTAACCAGACTCCTTCAAATTCTTCACATATTAATTTATACACAAGTTAAATAAATTGTTCTTCAGTGCAGCCTTTAATTTAAGCACTTTGTTTCAAGAAAATTTTTCTCCATCTGAGTTTCAAAGTTGCAATGATAATTTTTTTCCCATCACTTAAGTTTTTGGTTCAGGACTTTTTTCCTGAACTGCAAAAAAAAAGAACCCATCATCAAACCAAAGGAAATAAAGAACAGTGTTTTCCTGGACTTGCCATTCCTGAGGGGTAGTGAATGGTATGCAGCACAAAATCATCAGTCACGGACACTTCTAATCAGATCATGAATTGTGTAGTTCAGAAAATATCCATACCTCCCCCACAGAAGGGATTTTTTTCAAGA